GGATCGAATTACCTGGGGTCCACACGGCGCGGGATCGACAGCCGCGGTTCCCCCGTCGACTGCGCTACCGCTGCTAGCTCTGGTGGAGTTCCGGAGTAGATGGTGAGCACATTCGGGGATCAATATATCGCGTCTTAACGAGACGCGATATATCGATCCCGGATAAATCGATTGCTACCCGCCGATACGGCGGGTAGTGAAGACGTACCCTGTATTTCAGTGAAGCTGTGTACAAATGTGAATGGATCTGTGAGTGTGTGAAAACAAACAAGCTATACTACTGACCCGGTTTACTTTTCATCAATGAAAAGAATGTATGGAATAAGGCAGGATACAATGACCTAAAGAACCATTATAAAGCTTTTGGTTGTCACTAGTAGCCAGCAACACCTATCAGGCTGTATACAGTTACGAACATTTGGACAAGCTTGCACTGATCTTCAGTTAGATGAGCTATGGAGAAGTGCTGTGAGACAACACAATAAAAAGACTGTCAGAATCAGGCTCTTTGCAAAGACTAATTTGTGTTTTATTTAATCTCAGAGAACAAGAGCTGGTGTTTTGTAGGAATAACTAAACGGATGACTCCCTGAATCGGGGCAATTATGTAGAAACCTTAGAATTAGTCAGGGAATTTGATCCTTTAATCAAGCAGCATTTGGGAACCATCTACTTTATTTTCTGGAACATCAAACAATTCAAAACAACCTCATCAAAGCAGTAAGTAATATGCAACTTAATGCCATTGCCAAAGAAATTGAGGAAACACCATTTGTTGCTATTTTACTTGATGGAACGTCAGATAGTCCCAATGAGTCCAGCTTTTGACTGTACTGCATTATGTGACCAAGAATGGTGATATTGAACACTTTGTTGCTCTTAATGTCATTAGTAACAATCGAACTGCAGCTGAGCTTTGCCAGCATGTTGAAACTGTGTGCCAGAAGTTTAAATTTGTTGACAAGGTTTGTAGCTCAGACATATGGCAGTGCAGCAGTAATGGCAGGCAACATAGGTAGGCCTCAGAAACGTGTTCATGAAAAGTTTCTCTGTGCACTTTTTGTTCATTGCTATGTCCGTGTTTTAAATCTTGTCCTCAATTTTGCAGCAAACAGTAGCAGACTGATTTTCTTCAAAAATTTAGAAGGAATCTCTGTGGGTTTTTTTCCCCTCTCAATCTTCAAAGGACTGAACTTCTTGGAAGCCTAGACAGCTTTCTGTTTGTACCACAAGGTGGAATTTTCATTCAAGGCTTGTACAAATTGTAAAATGAGCAGAGAAGCTCTGACTGAACTCTTCAAAAGTGTGGTGGAGAATCCAGTAGCTTGGGATGCTCAGTCTTTTCACTCAGCCATGGGTTTGCTGACTGTGGTTGATAATTTTCAGTTTGTGTTTCTCCTTTGCCTCTACAACAACATGTTTGAAGTGACAGAAGTGATGTTTCATGTTCTTCAAACCAAGATGTATGATATTGAGTTTTGTATTCAGCAGACTTCTGAGACGTTAGAGCAAATTAGTCGAAAGCAACAAGTTTTTGACGAGTTTTGGAAAGAGGTGTCGGAGTTAGGTGCATGTGAACACTGAAGGGAAAAAAGAGCAAGTGAAGGCCAAGCAACGTATAAACGTCTCTCCTTTGAGGTTATTAACCATGTCAGAGAATAGTTATTGTACAATTTGAAAGTATAGAGAAACTTTAATTTGTACAATTGCTGAATCCAAAACAATTCAAGGAGTTCCAGACACATTTTCTGGTTAATGCTCTCGAATCTCTGGAAGAAGCATCTTATCCAAATATTTTTGACATTAGTAGATTGCATTCCAAGCTGTGTGCTGTGTACAAATGAGAACAGTGGCAAGAGAAAAGTGACTTGTATAGAACTATTCATGTGCTGGATTTACAAACTTGCTTCTCTAAAGTCAACAAATTGGCTACCTTAATTCTGATTATTCCCTACTCTGCAGCCACAGTGGAAAGATCTTTTTTCAACTTTAAAGCGCATTTAGACATTTACACGCAACACCCAGAGTGGCAAACACCTGTCCAGCTTGGTTTCACTGACCATCGAAAAGGAACTGCTTAGGTACTTGTGCAGCTTACCAGATTTTTATGACTTTGTCACTGAGAAGTTTCTTACAAAAGATGGAAGAACGGATTTTTAATTTCAGTAGAAATGTTAGATAATCGAGTATTAGTATAGTCTCAGGTTTCATTATATTTGGCTTACTAGTATTTGGCAAAAATGTATTTGGTTTATTAATCACAGTCTGTACATTAGAAAAAAATCTTTTTATCTGTCATCTAAAAAGTTGTTGCATACCTTATTAAAAATGTCATTTGCATGCCACTGGGTAGGCCAATTCTCAAATAGCACATTCTAGGTTTTGTTTTGATCAGTGGTGGTTTTCTGGTAACCAGCTTTAAAAATAATTTTTAAAATACATACAATATTTTTACATACAATACTTTTTTTCTTAGGCACTGAAAGTGCGGCAAGCAGATGTCACCCGAGAAACGGTACAGAAAAGTGTCTGTGTTCTAAGTCAGCTGGTAAGAGAGCGACTAACAAAGACAAACTCTTTTTTTTTTTTTTTTAAGAATACACACAGAAAACTGGTTTGACAAATTTTTGTTTGGAAACTTTCATTATTTTAAATGTTCTTTGTTAGAAACACTTTAAAATGTAACAAAATGAGCCTTGAAATCACAGCTGTGTTAGAAGGCCAAAGTACTCAAATGTTGTTATAACTTCTTCAACTGGAGAGACAAGGTGAGTGAGGTAATATCTTTTGTTGGACCAACTTCTGTTCGTGAGGGAGACAAGCTTTTGAGCCAAAAAGAGCTCTTCTTCAGGTTTGGGAAAGGTACTCCCAGCTTTTGCTGTGACACTAGGAGTTCCTTCTCCAGACCTGAAGAAGAGCTCTGTGTGGCTTGTCTCTATCACCAACACAAGTCAGTTCAATAAAAGATATTATCTCACCCACCTTGTCTCTCCAATATCCTGGGGCTGATATGACTACAACTACATTGCATGGAAAAATGCATGTACTTTATTGTGAGTCTTGATAAGATCTATTTGCATTTTTAATAATTGTTCCAAGAAGCCTATCAGTAATTGTATATTCCATTCAGTGTATGTATCCATGCTAGCTTTAGTGTTGCTACTATGGCTAAAAATAGTGAAACCATGATAGCACAGGTTTCAGTGCAGGCTGTACGAGCATGCTGGGGACCCTGGGTATGTACTTACCTTGCTAGCCCATGCCGCTGTGTCTTCACTGCAGACTAGATTTAAGATAGCATGGGATGCCAGCCCATGCTGCAACCATACCTCCAATTGAAGTGTAGATATATCCATGGTGATACACTATAAAATTACTAGTAAGTTATCAGATAATGAAAAACCTAGCAATGGACAACTGTGAAATGAAGCTTTTTTTCTAGCGGTTAGTGTAGTATGTTATGTGGAATATGATGTGTCTTCAGAATATATTGGGTGTAGCTCTCAGTTATCTGGGGGTCTATGTTGCAATGCAGGCTGCTTTTTACAGTCAGACTATGCAACTACATTTTACAGGCAGAGAAAAGAATTCTTTATTGAGAGCTGAATTCAACTGCATGAGCAAGATGAAGCAGGAAAGTTCCCGCTTATTCTATCCCCACAACACTACTGGGAGGATATTGAGTGATGTGCACTATCTGCCAATGAAACACAAGATAAAATTGTTACCTAATTAAAATTCACAGTGAGGGCTTTTGTCTTTAAAAATTACACTTCCATCTAGTGGGGTATCGATCTGTATTAGAACACAAGGACAGCTGGGGGGTATGGAGGAAGGACACTGGAACTGGAAACCAGCAACAAATGTACTTTTTTCATCTGCCTTTCATTCATGACATAACATGTCCATTTCTCTGTTTCACAAGCCTTTGTATGGATTACTTCAAGCAAAGCTACAGCTCATTACTCATGCCTATTTTGAAGAAAAAGACTTCTCACAAATTTCAATACTTAAGGTAACTTTTCAATATATACTAATACAGTATAATGCCCCTTGTGTATGACCATAGATTTTAAGTTATAAACCTTCTTTATCAGAGGGGTAGCCGTGTTAGTCTGGATCTGTAAAAAGCAACAGAGAGTCCTGTGGCACCTTTAAGACTAACAGATGTATTGGAGCATAAGCTTTCGTGGGTGAATACCCACTTCGTA